TGCTTGCCTGGCGGCGCCCTATGATGCGCAGCTGCTCCTCCGAGTCTCACTGACCAATGACCTGGTCCCGCCCGGCTGCAAAAGCAAATCCTCGTCGCGCCTGCACTTCGAGCTACACCCTCCAACCTAGAGCTTTCGTCACCTCCCCGCGGGTCTCAAGTAATAATGTTGTTCGCTTTCGATGCTAGGTCTTGGCGGGAGGAGCGGCTACTTGTCTGGAACTAGGCCTTGCTTCCGATGCGCGGAGTCGTAGTAATTACTGCATATTCCTGCCATCAGCCGGCATGCTCAAGAAGTTGATTCGAAGGAGAGTTGCCGAGATGTTGAACCGGTGTGACCATGTGACCTTGCGTTGTTAGTACATAAAGATTGCTGTAATTCATCTGCGAGCATTGTGAGTAAGGGCTTGCAAGGACTGGACGGATCTCAGGTTGTGCGCCAGGGCCGAGTTGTCCTGCGAGGATTGCGGCTGGTTAAGGTCCGCTTTCGGACACGCTTGTGATCAGGGGAAATATGATGCTCTTCTGCCATTTATAACGAGCAGGCACGGCAACTTGTGCAAAGGAGCGCATGGAGCGCTCGTTTTGGAGACAAGTTCTGCCAGTGGAGGGCCCAACCAGTGAAAGACACCACTGGAAGACCAGACCAGGGCTACATCTCGAGACTCCCCCCACGAAATGCGACTGCTGTCGCGCGAAACCACAGGCCAGAGCCAGGGAGGCAATGGCGTGGCCGTGCTAGGAGAGCATTTTAAGATTTCACCGCCAGCGCGAGAGCCGCCTCAGCGGGACGGTCGCCGGGGCGGGGCGGAGTTTGCCGGAGTCAGAGGTGCGGTATGAGGGGGAGAGCAGGGAGCCAAAAAGCTCTTGGCCACTCAGCCCAAAAAAATGGACCCCCTACCAGACCCCTCGAAAAGAACCAGCTACCGAACCAATTACCTGACAAGCGCGGGTACAAGCCGTTGCAGTCGTATTCACATTGTTCGGAACATTGGAACGCCATGGTGTTACCATCTTCTGGCAGCAAGTTCTCTACACACCAGGCCTTGCGTCTTGGCAAGGCCGCTGGCGCGCTTGCTTCAGCAGGTCCGCCAATCACGGCTGTCGAGACGCAGGGTAAAGTTGGCTGGCTTATGCCCAGCCTAGGAGTCAGAGAAGTTGGGATCCTGCAGCAACTTTCAGATCTCAGCGTTCCACAGTCACAACCTGCGTTGCGAGCAAGTGGTACACATTCGACATCCTTTCATAACACTGTCTTGCGATCCCTCCACAAGCAGGATGGAGGGCGTGCACGCAAGAACCGGCTGCATAGCGCTGCATTGCTGCTATGCTTATGCGACAGGCACGAGCTGGGCCAACCTGGGAGGCTTCGTTGGCCAGGTCACTGTGGTTTGCATGCCGGAAGGCTGTTCCACATGTTTCTGCGCACGTTCAGACTGCCGGCTTGTCACAGGCCATAGCTGGAAGCCTTCTCGACGATGGCAACTCAACAACCGCGATGGCTACGGCCCTTCGAACTTGTTTAACATCGTGACAGTTGCAAGGGCAGCATTCAGCTTTGCTTAGGGCGGTTTTGTTTGTCTGGCCCAGCTGGATCGAAGACGGCAGCATGAAAATTTGAAGAATCTGGTCTGGAAGCATGAACGTCTTGAGTCGCGAGATGTCGCGAGAATATCGCCTGTGGCAGTAAGCGCTTACAACCTGCCGTGCTGCGTGGCTGCCAACCGCCTCCTCTTAGTCCCACATGCAGTCGGAGAGGGTTTACATGCCAAGTGATACATTGTGCCGTTGAAAGCAATTTGAGCAGGCAGCCGGGGGCTGGGCTGGAGGCTTGGCAGGCTGGCGACTGCTTGGTTGCACCAGGCTCATCGTGCAACGGTAGCTGACTCCGTTCCACAGGAAGTGGAGTTGCAGCTGCTGCTGCCTCCAGCCTAGGCATTGAGGCAGACGGGCACAGCCTGTCCAGCGTGTGCTGGGAGATCTGCGAAATGGTTTCAACATGCTTCAGCCTTTGGGGTCAGCAGCCTTTGATTCTGTGTCCATCTGACGAGGTGCTAACTCTAGCTGTTCCACACATTCTGCCAGTGATGTCTACTTAATCTAGTTGCTGAACTCAGTAGTTCTTACTCCGACAAGGCCCTGGGTGCCGGCTCTGTGGCTGGAGGCTTGGTGGTGTGCGGCTCTCTCAGCGCTGTGGGCGTACCTTGGCGGCAGGCCACTTGGGTCTCACGCCAGTGTTGCTTGGCTGGAGCACAAAGAAAGCCAGGGTTTCGACTGCATTTCCCCCAAGGCGGTGGCCGGCGCGGGCCTGGCCTTCGCCGTGAAGCGTATCTTGGTGGCCGACAAGGTGCCTTATAAGTGTTTCGACCGATGCGTCGAAACCATTTCTTCATTTGGTTACCTGGTTTTTGCATCTAGTGGATCTCAGTGCCCGTGGATCAGACCTAATGCCTTCTGCTGCAATGGTGTTTACCCTTTGTCTCATCAGGGTGCGCAGCCCGACCGGAGCGCCGAGTTCCTTGGCTTGGCTACAGTGCAGAGTCGCCAGACAAGCAAGGGTTTTCTCAGGTCTCTTGAGTTTGGGGCCTGCTCAGAAACTATTCTGTGCCGTTCTGGGCACGGATGTCCTGAGCATTCGCGAGCTCAGATCTCTCCGAAGTGGCAAATGCTGGTCAGCGGCATTGCCTGTGTTGCTTTTCCTCCTTTTCTGCATTTTCGTGAACTCGTCACCCAAACATCCGTACACTGTGCAAAGGCGCGCTCGCGCCTGCGTACGCACTTGCCGTATCCTGACGTCCTGCCATGTACACCCTTGCAGACTGCCCCCACATGGGGGAGGCTGGCCCGCCTGTGGAAACTCAAAGGCGTGGATGCCGAAAAATCAGTATTTTGGACACATGAACAAACTGGAAAAAAGTCTTGATGGCAGAGACGCATTCAGAGTCTTCAACTACTTCCTGCAACACATCGGTCACTCGCAGTGCAAAATATGTTAACGCAGATAAAGAGACTTTCTCACACAGAGGGCCGACAAGAAGCCGACACTTCGTACTACATCAAGTCTTGAGGCGACGTCCCATAGATTTTGCACCAGTCTCGATTCTCGTGCTTCAGACATGGGACCCAATGCAGTTTTCTTTCTTCCCGTCTTATGAAGCATGTCCAAGCCAAGCTTCGCTGACTATCTGCCGCACGAATGGTGCATAAAGCAGCTTCAATACTCAACAAGAATAGCAGCCTTCCAAGACGTTCATAAAATGATTACTGCACAACAAGCCTCTCGCGGTTGAAGCTGAGATACTTTGACTGTCCTCTACGTCTTCTCGGCAGCGCAGATGATGCGACCAAGATGCAGAAAAATGATTTGAACAAATCCACTGCGCAGGCTGAGCCATCGTTGCCGATAAGAAATCAATCACATTGTCCATGCAATTGTGATGCCAAATGGTTTGGCCAACTGTGTCCGTGAAGTCCCGATGTGAAGCATCTCAGGTCTTTCACCTTTTCGGCGCAAGCCTCGAGTTCCCTCCAGAAGACGGACACTCTGACCAACAGGGGGCTGGATTCGGGATGGGATTCGGCCTACAGTTTCGCTTGCAGAAGAAAACGGGCCCCAGAACCCGATTCATCGCAGGAGGAGTCACGAGCCTCAGTCACATGCCGCATGTACCTTGCAACCTCTCAGTGCTCTGGCCGGAGCTAGGAGTCCTCACAAACGGCGAGACCGAAGAGACGCCGCTTGTTTTTCGTAGTATTTCGTAGTGCTTTGGCACACTGTCCCGGCATTTCTGCAACTTTGCTCTGACCCTGTTTGTAGCTCCCTGCTGTAGCAGGGCACATATTCCGTCTACACATGATCGCAGCTCTGCACGTCGTCTGGCAGGCCACGCTTGGCCGCCGCAGGGTGGTATGCAGTGAGAGTGTCAGGGCCATTGCCGGCAGACTGATGCCCGTGCAAAAAGACTTGCCATCACATGACGAGAATCAGCGTCCCGAGTGCTTGCGACAGTTCACATGACTCGCGAAAATGTGTCTTACCTGACTGTACTTATTCGCTGGCGGCAGTCCGGATCGTTTGGATCACTGCCAGTCTTAAAGAATATCTTGAAGAGTTGGTCATGAGACCATGATTGAGGAAACGGAGCTACCAACTAACCGGAAGCTGCACTCCTTCGGCGAGCTTGTGCCTTGGGACCCTTGGGAGATGCTGCATGTGCAAGAGCCTCCGCAGATCTCAGTCACATTCCGAATGAGCAGCTCTCTCGCGGACTTGCTCCTAGGTTCCGCGGCGGACGAGGAAGCAGTTACTTGCCTGGGCAGCTGCTACAGCAGTCCAAGCCCCTGCTGTCCAGACTTGAGATCTGAGAGTGTTTGAGATCTAGAGAGCGCAGCAAGGGGCGTTGGTTCTGCAGTTGTGCTAGGAAAGCGTCACAGTTTCGATCCTGAGTTTTCGAGGCGCTTGCCCCGCACGTTCAACGAAAGCATGGGGCACGTCGCACAGGAAAGACGCGAGGCTCGGGGAAACAGGGATCGAGAGAAAGAGCAGAGGTTTCTGATGAGGGACGAAATGGCTTCTACGGCCGCTCCTTCGCGAAAGATGTCTCCCCGAATCCTTTGAAGTCCTCCCTATTGCAATGTCCGAAGCTGTGCTGGAGAAGCAGAAAGCGAGTGCGCAACACCTTTGAGCTTCCCGTTCAGCGAGGTCCTGCCATTTGCACCGGCACATTTTTCGGCTCCGAAGTTTGCAATTCAAAATGCCGCTGATCCTACTGATGCGTCTTTACCACAAAAGCAGGGGACGCCCCAGCACCACTAACAGCGGCCGAGGAGGTTCAGCAGCAGCAGTGCCAAGGAATGCCAACGCATGCGCTATCAGTTGGATTCAGTTGGGACCAAGCCACCACGCCAGGCACGACAGGGAGGCAGACACCTGCTTGACCACAAAAGCAGGAAAGGTGTAAACAAAAACAGGGCCGTGAGTGGCAAGCCAAAGCTGTGAAGAAAAGGATGCCGAAAAACAAAAACAACCGAAACAGCAAGAAGAAGCACAAGAAATCACTGACGCGGAAGGGCTCCACACCAGAAGCGAGTTGAAGAAGACGAAGGCTGTGCAAGCAAAGGAGGAAGGAAGTGGCCTCCGCCGCTGTGTCTCCGGAGCCCCCTGTTCGGTAGGTGGAGATGGCTTTTAGATTCTAGTCCCCAAGCGGAAGCGTTCCAGTCGAAAGCCATCGAAAGCAAGTGGAAGGAGTCGCCCCTGAGTAGGGGCTACATCGGCTAAACATGGCTGAACGGCAGTTGCAGATACCCGCAGAACCAGCTAGCCATCGCCAGACGCAACGGATATGCAGATTCACCACCATGCGCTGAGGATCCCAACGTGCACACCCACAAGCTAGGAAGGGGTTGGTAATCAGAAGGGAAACGTCGTGACTATGGCAGGGCCGACAAGATCGCAAAACTGACTTTATGGCACAAGGGATGGACAAGAAGAAGTAGCCACCTCCACCTGCCCATGGAGGCAAAAGGATCCCCTCGTGTGCCACCGCGCAAATCGGGGAAAACAAGTGACAAGCAGCAAGCTCGTTGTCCTGTGCAGAGCGACTGGCCCAAGACACGGAGGCCCCTAGAGCGCAGTACGTGCTGCAAGGAAAAGGCGCGATCAGCTTAGCATTGCCATAGAGCCTTCGACTTTTGCCTTGTGCTCCCGAGAGCTGCCACTGTCTTTTGACAGTGGTAGCGGAGCCCGGCCCTGGAGAAGGAGCGATCGACGAGCTGCTCGACTACACGATCCAGGAGTACCTGTAGATAGGCAGTGGCCCCGCGGGAGCCACCAGGATGCCATCGCCAGCCGAATCTTCTGGAGCAGCCGAGGGCGAGGACCCAGGTCCTCCTTTCAGGGACCGGGAGCCGCCCCCTTATTTCGATGGAGAGGACCCGGCTAAGAACTTCAAGCCGTGGCTTAGGGAGCTGGAGCTTTGGGCTTTTGATACCGAGGTCCCGGCGGCAAAGCATGGCACGAGAATTCTGAGGCGGCTGGGCGGAGCAGCTAAGGCAGCCGCAAACGAGCTGGAGACCTCAGAGATTCTGGGCGAGAAGGGGAAGGACAACATAATCGCGAAGCTGAAGGAGTACTTCTCGCCGCACCTTGAGACGACGATGCCCAAGGCCTTTGAGAGTGCCGTCTATGGGGAGATCCGAGGAACCCGGGAGAACCTCAGCGAGTACATCATCCGGATGGACGCGGCGTTCCGGGAGCTCAAGAACGAGGGCGTGGATCTTCCTTCGGAGGCCAGGGGCTATGTGATGTACCGGCAAGCTAGGCTAAGCACTATTCAAGAAGATCAGCTGACCACGTGGACCGAAGGCAAGTTCAGCAGAGATGTGGTCATTAGGGCTTTGCGGAAGCTGGACAAAGTTCGTGAGCAGCCCGGGGGTGCCAAGCGAGCCACCTACTTCGACGAGGGTGGCACCGAGGATGGCGAGGCCGAGGACGAGTCCGACTTTGACGAGGACTATGTGTACCTGGAGCAGGCCGACCTACAGGACATCTACGAGGAGTCGGAGGTGAAGCAGGCACTTGCTACTTACCAGCAGGTGCGCCGGGCCTTGCAGGATCAGAAGAATGCTCGCGAGTACTTTCCCCTCGAGAAGCCGAAGGGAAAGGGCAAAGGAAAGGGCAAGAAGGGCACCTTTCCGAGCGGCGCCCGGGTACATGTCAGCATGCTGAAGTTGCGCACGAAGTGCGCAAAGTGCGGGCAGGTGGGCCACTGGGCGGCCGAATGCCCAAATCCCGCCGATGGCTACCACAAGCAAGGGGCCTCCTCCACCGGATCAGCCGC